AGAGGCGCCGGCTGCCGGCGCGGGAATTGCCCGTTTACATCTGGTTGGCCTGGGGCCTTCCCTAAAATGGGCCGTTCTGTTAAAAACTGGTGGAAGGTAGCAGTAATGAATGTCGTCATCGTGTTTAAAGCCTCGCTTCCGTAAGTCTTAATGCTCAGTGAATTCTGTGGTTAGTTTAAATGCAACACCGAAGTTCTGTTTTCACAAGGCTTGCCTGAAGGACGAAGCTAGAGGTCATTGCTACTCTTGCAGGGCACCTACTGGGATGGATTAGTTTTGGTATTTTATAAATATGCTGACGAGACACAAAAGATTCAGGTAATTAAAATTAAGAAAAGCTCTATAATATCAAATTACTATAGTAACACCTAACCCTACTGTAGTAACCCTATAATAATACCTAGCTCTACAAAACCTAACCACATCCTTAAGATCACCAAACCATTCACCACAACATAAATGTCCGTTTATATCCTAGGTTCACCGTAAATATCCACTGTTTTGGAGCCTGAGGGTTTTTGGGTGTCTGTCCAACGCCTCGCACGACCCTGTGGAGAAGCCTGTCGGTGTCTCAGTCTTTTCTCTTGTCACCCCGGCATCTGGCCGTGCACAGTGTCCTCTCCTGTAGGTGGGAACGGAGGAATTCCCCCTGCCCTTCCCCAACCTCTATGTGTTTGGGGGCTTAAAGCTCTTCCCCATGACAGTAACTCGGGAGGCAAGGGACGTGTCTTCTGTTGAAGACGGCATATCCATGGCAAAACCCAGAAGGTGTTTCAAAGACAAGGGTCGTCAGGAGGTCGCTGTGACTGTGAGCCCACTGCTGTGCCCCTTTAACCCAGACACCAAACCGCAACCTGAGAGCTGTGCTCCTGCGCCACGGCTATGTGCTCCCGACCATCGCAGAGCTTCCTCACGCTGTCCTTCGGACTGGCTTCCAGATCAAGGGCTAAGGCTGTCTTCACTCCCAGGCAACAGGGTGAGCGGCAGAGTGCGATACAGGTCTGAGGAGGAACCCCGTAGACAAATACATGAAGAAGTTACGTGTGATAATGCTGAGAGTGCCGAAGAGGACTGGGACCTGAATATCTGATGAGAGCAGAGGGGAGAACGATACGTTTTCCAGGTAATAAACTTCCCCTCCAGCTCTGACAGAACTGCGTGCCCACAGCTGAAAGGGCACCCAGAACATTTCGTTCTGCTCCAGAATGTCCGGGCTACGCTGAAAAAACCCTCACAAGAGTGCTTCACGAGTACCCCACACAGGCTGAAGGGGGCATCTGACAGGCAGGAGATGTCTTTCACCGCTAGTTCCGTTCTTCGTTTGCAACGTGACACAGCAGTTGCAACCAGCAGAATTTATTTAGCAGGAAAATTAAACATGTTACAAATATGTACACAACGCGATTCATCAGTGGTTTTTTTTTTACATTTGTCTAAAATTATGTACAGGTCAAGCAGAACAGGCACATTATGGGCATTTGGTATTTTTTGCACTGTCTTAAGCGAGGAGCCTGTATAGGCTCTGCGTGTAAACAGCAGAAGTGAACTCTCTCGCTGCGCGGTTACTCAGAACACCTAGGTTAGGAATCATCTTCTCCCCAGTGACACCACTGGGATCCTGAAGTGAGGGTACGTGGGGCGCGTGGTCTGAATATTACTGCCCCGTACTGCAGGCTCTTTAACAAAAGGGATCTCTAGAAATTCATGCAATTAAGTGTCGACAACAATTAGATGTCAGTCACACGGAGATTAAATATTGAACAGTCATAAAAATGGTTTATATTGAATCTCATGGGCAAATATGTTTTCATCCCTAATGAAGTGACAGAAATGAGATCTGTATCCAATTAAAGAGTAAGTAGAGGCAGAATCCTACTAAAACCCAATCCTGCAAAAACAGATCCTGCAAAACCAGGTTTCATTTTAAAACTGGACAAGGAGAGTTTATTATTAGTCTGAGGGGGCTTTAATTTATTTGCGTTTGTTTTTCAGAACTGGGACTTGAGATGTTCCTGAAATGGACCATAATACAAAATCTGTGAGTTTGTGTGAGAAAGTCGATCGGTGTGACCGGGAGGGAATCATGTCCCCGAAGCAGACAAAGCCCTTATATCGGCCAAATCCTTTCCTAACAAAAGTTAAAATAATTGATGTCATAATGTAGGGCTGAATTAGTTGAATGATGAGGAAATGAAGATAAATTTTATTTGCTAAATATAGACCTCTTATAAATGTAAAAGCAAATGCAAGTCTCTACCTTGCACTTACGTAAGTAAAATTCTTCAACTGTCTCATGAATCACGTCTTTCCTGCTTTTTAAAGGATTTTAGTAAGTGTTTCATAGCTGTACTCTGGCACCTAGATTGCGTTTTGACAGTTTCCTCTGTGTTTGTGCAGAACTGGCAGCATCCTTCAAACAAGAAGATACTTTATTTCCTCTGAACACTGCAGCTTAGCCTTTAACGTGTAAGATAGCATTTCTTTTAGAGTGAGGATAGTGAAAGGCATGATGCATAGTAAACATCATCATCCCTTCAGCCAGGGCATTTTTCAGTAATCTGCAAAGTAGCAGCACAAGCACGAAGATGTTCTAGGAAAAGTCGTTTCATAGAGGAACACTTAAATCACAGTAGTTCTAATGCTTGTTTTCAAGGTCTGAGCAGTTAAGAAATGCCACTGCTGGGACTGGAATCCAACGTCATCTGTCAAGGCAGGGCTAAAAGCGATTGTAGGCCTGCTTTCTGCCTGCAGTTTCTTTGATGAAGCTCTCTGGAGGTGTTGTTTGCTGCATTTATTTTTTCTATTCCTGTTGCTAAGACAGGCGTCTGTAATTGTTCCCATCATACTTTTAAAGCTAAAATGACACTATTCAAACGATTATTACAATGTTTTATTGAATTTCTTTGGATGCAATAGAGGAATCTGTTGAAAAACATAGTTTCATCCTGAACTTGAAGGTGGGAAATCGCTTGGAGGTGTCAGTATGCTGCTTTTTATGCCTTTAGAGGAAAAGGCATGAATAAGAAAGGAAGTCATGTTTCC